GTGATGAACATGATTAACGTAAACTTCACTTACCTGGCTGCCTCGTGTCTCTCACTTCGGTGTGGGGTGTGTTCCCACGTCGCAAGTGTCACCCTGCTTGGCATGATTGGTGTAATGTATTCTCTTATGTCTCTTTCACCATAATGATCATGCTTGGTTTTGTGTATCTTGATATTATTGCCTAATTTGGCTTGTTTCACACTCTTCTGGGCTCAGTGGGGGCAGCCATCTTGGTTGTTTACTCTACTGTTCCGCCTGCTTGGGTTTTCCCATTCTTGCTGCAGGGGTGTTTCCATTTTCCCATTTGCACGCCATAATGACCACATTGCCCTACAGTTACCTTTAGTGTTGTTTCTCAGCTGTCATCTGACCGCCCGATGCCTGCTGCTTCTGGCCAACGGTATAATGCTACTACCGTGTCCTGGGAGGACGCTGAGGAGCGCTATTTTTCTCCCGATTATAACAAGAAGATGTTACAAGAGGAAGATGATGGGGGTACTTACCTCCCCATATCTGCTGTGTTTGACTGGATTGCCGACAGGCTGCCGGATTGTCCTTCTCTCTCTTCAGGCTCTGATGACCCGAGAGCTATTAGGTCTTCTCCCGACTTACTCCTCCCCGCCTCACCCGATGGTGGCCGATGCTGTGACCTCTTTGGATGCCGACTTTGCTAAACTGTCTCTCAATACTACTATTAAGGCTCCTAAGTTGCGCAAAGAGGACTACAACATACATAGTTTGGGATTTCGCTGATGGAGGCGCGGCTCATGATGAATCCCACAGTCTTCTTACCGAGTGCAGGGCTCTAAGATGTTGGCTATTGACGCAGAGCTCAAGAGGGTAGTGGTTAGAGCGTCCACCTGGAGAGCGGAAGGTCGCGGGTTCGATCCCCGACAGCATCATACCAAAAGACGTTAAAATATGGTACTTGTTGGTCCCTGTCTGGCACGCGGCATTAATGGGTACAGCAAGGACTGGTCGGCTCGGAGTCAGTTTAATGTGTCTGAGTGGGGTATTCATGCACTATAAAACCAGCTTCAGTCTGGGCTAGTACAAGCAGCTACACATACACACATCGTCATATGAGCGAAATATTCTCATGCATGACGTAAAACCCAATTTCACCTCACCTCACCTCCTTGAGCCTTGCTCTTGGCAGGAAGAGTTAAAAAAAAATGCTGTTGAGAGCCCTTTTCGCTTCTCGCTTCCTCTTTGATGACCGGATTCCGGAGGTTTATAAGGAGCACACTAATACTGAGGTGTCCCTGTCTACTTTCGAAACTCTTTCGTGGCAAGTCCTCTACGAGGGGTAGAGGGAAGCGCCGTTATGTCCCGAGAAGAGACTTTGTTCGTAGCGCCTTCGGCAGAGGATGTGGCTGTGGCAGGTCCGACCCCGATTTTCAGGACCGTCCCCGGCAGCCCCCTTCGACGCCCGGCAGGGGTAGGGGGAAGCGCCCTTACTCAGGTCGCTGAAGCTTGGACTTGGAACTCCCGCCCCCAGCTGTGCCGGTTTGTCCTACTCCAGTAGGCGGGAGACTGGGGATCTTCTGGCCCAATTGGACAGTCCTAGAAGATCCGTTTGTGACCAACATTCTCAAGACCGGATACAAGCTGCCAATCGCCGTGTCGCCGCCTCTGACTACAACGCCCCAGTAACGCATGTATGCTCCAGACCAACAGTTACTGCTAGCAGACAACATTCAGTCTTGTTAGACAAACAAGCTATAGAGACAGTGTTAGTTCCCAAACAGTCCCCGGGGTTCTACTCACCCATCTTACTTATTCCCAAGAAAGACTCGGTGAAAATGCGCATGATTCACAATATGCTAGTTTTCAACGACCTTTACCTTTCGGAGCCGCCTCACTTCCGAATGGTGTCCCTGGAACAACTACGTGCCAAGCTTGCGCCTAAGGTCTGGCTGGCCAGCCTCGACCTCCAGGATGCCTACCAGCATGTGCCCATTGACCATCGTCACAGGAAGTACCTGAGGTATATTTTCAACGGGTCCCACTACCAGTGGAAAGTGCTTCCGTTGGGAATTTCCATGGCCCCATGGCTTTTTACTCAGATTACCTCGCCGATCACCCGGTTCCTCCATCTCAGGGGCATCTGTTTCGACCCTTATATAGACAACAGTCTCATGAACCACCTCGACCCTCAGTTGCTTCGCAAACAGATGAACTTTGCCAATCGCCTCCTGGAGCAACTGGGGTGGATTATCAACACAGACAAGCCCCACCTGGAGCCGTCCCACGTTCATAGGAGGCTTGTTCCTGACTCACTGCTACCTTGTCAGGATTCCACAGGATCGCTTGAGGAAAATTGTCAGTTTCGCCAGCCGAGGTCTGTCCCAGCCGCTCACGCTCAGGGAGTGGCAGTCCCTCTTAGGTCTCCTTACCTCAGCCCAGTTCTTGATGCTCAGAGGTCGTCTGATGCTCCGGCCGTTACAGCGCTTCCTCTTGCCTTACATCCAGGCAGACAACCTGCAGTCGAGGTTCCTTCTGCCTCTGTATCTCCACGCTTACCTCCGCTGGTGGACTGTAGAGTCAAACGTCTGCGTAGGAGTCTCCTTGACAGAGTTTGTTCACGATCACGAACTTATCGTAGGCGCATCTCTTCAGGGTTGGGGTGCACACCTCAATGACCAGACCGCCTCGGGGCTCTGGTCCGACCCCGAGCTAAGCTGGCATATCAACAACTTGGAGGTCCAAGCAGTCATTCTAGCGGTTCGAAACTGGACGCCTCTGCAGCAGAACACCAGGCTCACGAGCAGCGTCGGACAATTCTACGGTTGTGTGGTTGATTCGCAACCAGGGAACGACCAGCTCCAAGCAGTTGTTGGAGCAGACCTTCCTGTTGCCCAGTCTCCTGGACAACAATGGCATCAGAGCCAGAGCCTGGCACATCCCAGGGTGCAAGAACGTCCTAGCAGAAGCTCTCTCAAGGCCAGGCAAGCCGTCGCCAACAGAGTGGATGCTACATCCAGAAGCTTTCAACCTTCTATGTCACAGTCACGGCCGCCCTCTGATCGACCTGTTTGCAACTCGGTTCAACAAACAGCTTCCGTTGTACGTGTCTCCGATTCCAGATCTGGCAGCATGGGCAGTCGACGCCATGTCCTTGTCGTGGGAGGGTCTGGACGCATATGCCTTTCCACCACCAGTTCTGCTGCCAGCAGTGATAGCAAAGATCAAGGAGACAGGGACAATTCATCTGCTTTTGGTCGCGCCTTGGTGGCCAACCAGAACCTGGTTCCCAGATCTGCGCCGCCTCGCCGAAAGAAGTCCGCAACAGTTACCAGAGTGCCCTCACCTGCTCAGGCATCCACACAGTCGACAGCTGCATCCCGATCCGACTCCATTTCATCTGTACGGTTGGATCATCTGCAAAAGACTGAAGGCCAAGGGCTTCTCCACAGGTATAGCCAAGGTTATTGCTCGTGCTCATCGAGTCTCCACAAGATCACTCTATGATGATGAGTGGACTTTGTGCACAGAAGTCCAAGGTCCCGTTGAAAGCTTCTCCTCAGTTCATAGCAGAGTTCCTTCTTTTCCTTCAGAAGTCCCGGCGTCTCAAGGGCAACAATATAGGAACTTATTTATCGGCTCTTAACTCTGTTTTGGTGGTCAAGTGCGACAAAAAGATTTCCAAGGTGCCGGAGCTCATCACCGTACTCAAAGCTTTCAAGCTGGAGGACCAGAAGGCAAAGTTTCATCCTCCTGCTTGGGACCTTAACATCGTTCTCCGGCATCTGAGAGGTCCGACTTATGAGCCCTTGGACACTACTTCATTCGAGAACCTCTCCAGAAAGACAGCTTTTCTCTTGGCCCTGGCCACGGTGGCTGTCGAATCCATATGCATAAGACCTATGGTAAGGTAAGTAAAAAAAAATTATTAAAATCTAAATATTTTAGATATTTAAATACTTACCTTACCATAGGGCGGTAACTCCCTCCCAGTGCTGGATGCTCCTCCCCTCTCTGGGCTCTTTGGACCTGGTCAGTAAAAGTGATTTTTGGATAGACCGCGCTTGCACGGGAGGGGAGATCACGTCACTTCCGTTCCTGTACACTCGTCGATACTCGAGGCAGCCATTCTAGGGAATGGCGAATCAACGACTGTCTGATCTCTTTTTAGCGGAGCTTGAGGTAAAATGCATAAGACCTATGGTAAGGTAAGTATTTAAATATCTAAAATATTTAGATTTTAATAATATTCATCTTCCACAAAAGATAATCCATCTTTAAGGCAAAAAGGGCAGAGTCGCTTTAAATATTCAGTACCATCGTAACGGCTTGTTTCTGCTGCTAGTCCATAATTACAACATCTAAATCTTGCGACAACAGACCTAATACAAATAGGAATATCTAATGATAGATACAATTCAACATTTAGTAATAATTTAAACTGCTTAATACTTTTATAGTATTTTGGTCCTCTTGAAGTAAGTTGGTGCTCTTGTGGTATGTTGGTCCTCAGAAGTAAGTTGGTCCTATTAAAGTAAGTTGATCATCTTGAAGTAAGTTGGTGTTCTTATAGTATGTTGATCCTCTTATGGTAAGTTGGTCTTCTTATAGAAAGATCGTCTTTTTGAAGTAAGTTTGTCCTCTTAGTAAGATGGTCTTCTTATAGAAAGTAAGTTGGTCATCTTGAGAAAGTTGGTCCTATTAAAGTTAGTTGGTCCTCAGGAAGTAAGTTGGTGCTCTTACACTAAGTTACAGTAAGTTGGTCCTATTGAAGTATGTTGGTCTTCTTATAGAAGGATGGTCATCTTGAAGTGAGTTGGTCCTCTTGGAGTGAGTTGGTCCTCTTGGAGTGAGTTGGTCCTCTTGAAGTGAGTTGGTCCTCTTGGAGTGAGTTGGTCCTCTAGAAGTGAGTTGGTCCTCTTGGAGTGATTAGTCTTTTGAGGTCATTAGACATTATCGATCATGTTGAAATAGCAGTCTGTCAGAGTGTGTAGTGTTACAATGTCCCAGTTAGACATTTTGTTTTTTTGCAGCTTGAAGGAAGATGGGAAAAGATGGCTAAAATATTTTGGGAGTTCTGGAGCTGACAACTTGCAGTTCCGTGATGGCTTCCTAATGATTGGCCAGAAGGGGCTGAAGGAGGGCCATGCCATTGAATATGTGAGTTGGTGTACACTGATCTGTTGGATTTCTGGCTGGTACCTGTCAACAGGCTTGCCAGAAATCCATTATCGTGGGTTGGAATCTTGGTTCGCCCGAATTCGAGGCCTGTCAGCTTCATATCCATGCTGGTGGGTTTCAGCAGAGTGGTACAGGCGGTGGGGTAGCCTAGTGGTTAAATCGTTCGCTTATCACGCCGAAGACACAGGTTCAATTCACCACATGATTACAATGTGTGAAGCCCATTTCTGGCGTCCCCCGGGGCGGTGGGGTAGCCTAATGGTTAAAGCATTGGGTCGTCACTCCGAAGACCCGGGTTCGAATCCCCACATGGGCACAATGTGTGAAGCCCATTTCTAGTGTCCCCGGTCGTGATGTTGCTGGAATATTGCTAAAAGCGGCGTAAAACCAAACTCAGTCAGTCAGTCAGTCTGGCGTCCCCCGCATGATATTGCTGGAATATTGCTAAAAGCGGCGTAAAACTGAACTCACTCACTCGGTCAACAGAGTGGTAAATGTCTGAGACGTCATCCTCCTCTCACTCATTAAGCTAACACACGGTGATATAACTGGAATACTGTTTTAAGCTGCATTAAGCCCCCTTACTCAATAACACCTGTCCACCAAGTTTCTCCAACATGGCATGTCAAAAGCCCAGCTCTCTGTTATCACTATAGAGTGTATATGAAAGGCGGAATATCCCTTGCAGGTTGTGAAGAGAAAGAACAATCAAGACTTCTCAGATGTCATGGAGAAAGCAGGTTGTTTTTCTCTGCCAAGTAAGTAAACACCTTCATATGTTTATGTTAAACCTCTTCAGTTCTGTTCTGTTCTACTCAAGTGCTGGTACACAGTTCCTATGTCACTGAAAGGGCGTCGGGGTAGCTTAGTGGTTAAAGTGTGTGCTCGTAATTCCGTTAAAACTAAAACTCACTATGTCACTGAAAACCTTCCACTCATTAGCTGTATTCAGAATACAGGAAGGTCTTTGAAATTTGATCCTATAGTGTTTGAATCTTGGGAACCTTAAATCTTTACCTTTTAACATCAGGACGATGAAAAGGACCCCTTGATTGCCAGGCCTAATTTCTTATACTGATTGCCTGTAAAGATCCAGGTTAGAATTGGTGTTCAGCAGTCCATGCTTGTCGTAAAAGGCGACTAACGGGATCGGGTGGTCAGGCCTGCTTATGTTGTTGACACATGTCATTGTGTCAAAGTTGTGTAGGTCGATGATCATGCTTTTGACCACTGGATTGTCTTGATTAATTTCATACTGTTGCTATTTAGCTGTAATATTGCTGGAATATTGCTAAAATGTGTAACATGTCATATTTGGAACTACACCTCTTTCTAATCCCAGATGGAACCCTAGAATCTGAACTTTACTGTGAATATGTTATCCTAAACGTAACATGTGTTACTTTTGACCACTTTCTAAATGGCATTGTGTATTTATTACACCGATGTGACTGAAGCACTGTGTGTGTGATACCTGGTGGTTGCAGTGGGGCCTAAGCGAGACCTACAGCAGCTGTTGCCACAGGTGATTCACCAGAAGGAGATGCAGCTGGGTCCGTCCGTCGCCAACTGTGGGGTGCCGGAGTCCTGCGGACCACACTCCTTCCCTGTCAGCGTCTTCTCGGGGGAGGGAAACAAGATTCAGCCAGAGATCTGCATCAGTGGCCATCTGTGAGTGTCAAGTCAGTAGAAGACAACCCTCGCTTATAACAGACTGGAACTGAACTGTGTTAGATGTCACTGTCTGAGCAATTTGTTCTCAAAGTCTTTGAATGATTCTTTGATCAGCATTCTCGAAGTTGGTGAACAAAAATGAAACATGCTACTTTATGGATGACAACTTCTTGTTTATTGCATAGAGCAATGTTTGGCTGTAAATTCTTTCACCATTATTACGTTAAAAGTGACTACAACGAAATGATGAGAAGTATATAAGCACAGTGTGTTTGTTGTTCTTAGTCCCCAATTGGCCTCTCCCAATTATGTACCAGTTGTTATTCCATTACATGTTGTTAATGTCAATCTGCTGTTTGTCAAAACATACTATATACATTTATACTTCTCATCATTCACTAATCAGCAGGCGAGCACAAAGTTCTTGATATATCTGTTCATTCCAAGCACATGCTTATGTCATGTCTCATACAGATCTTGTTTTACTCCACCCGTGAAGGTCCGGTTTAGAATATTTGTAAAACTAAACTCACTCACTCACTCACTCACTGTTTATAATGTATGGCTACTGGGGGTGATGATGATTTTTATGGAGAAGCATGTGCAATGTGAATGCCACCCGCTAAAATTTATGTTCGGAGTAAGTGACCCCACTGCATGTCATGTACAAAAATCAATGGACCCCCCCCTCCCATAATTTTTCAATATTTTTATGTACAAAATTGATGACCCCCACCTAGTACATGTGTACAAAATTGATGACCCCCCTTCCCTACCTCCCAAGAACTAAATGGGTGACAATACACACACACACACACACACACACACACACACACACACACACACACACACACACACACACACACACACACACACACACACACACACACACACACACACACACACACACACACACACACACACACACACACACACACAATTCATCATCACCCCCCTAGCCTTAATAAGGACTGTTACTTCTGCAGGATGATGACAGAGAATCTCAACAATGGAGGCCGGGGGTTTAACGTCATCGTTGTTGACCCAGACACTGGTGTTCCTAAGATGATGTCACGAGTGGACACCTACACGTATGGTAAGAATTTTCTGTGGTTTCCATGGTTACAGGGTGAAGAGGGTCGCACTCAGATTGACCTAGATGCTTGTGGAATAGGATGTCTCATTTGTCATGATATATTTGCTGGAAGTCACAATACAGTTAAAAGGACTGTATGTGAATGACTGTGGAGCACAGCGGTGTAGTGGTTAGCATGCTGGCCTCTCATGCCAAAGGCCCGGGTTCGAATCCCGGTGGAGACACCAAAATTTGTGACCTGGGTCTCAGGCTGTGTTGTGTCCTTGGGCAAGGCACTTCGTCTACATTGCACTCAGTCCACCCAGCTGTTCAAATGGGTACCTGAGAAGCGGATGTACGGACCTATACGGTCGCGCGAAGCGTTTATTAGCAGCTTTGAAAGTACAATTCCGTCAGGGTAATAATGTAACACCAGAGAGAAGCATCGTGCTGGATTCTAGGAGCCAAAATTAGCCTCATTATTATTATTATTAATGACTCAGGATTGAAATGAAATGGAATCATTCCAGTAATTTGAATCTAGGCCCCTTGAACTTTTCAGAGGTGACAAGGTGAATTCATGCTGCTTATAAATCACATTGCAGAAAACATGATTTTGACCCTGCCCTCCATGCCTGCCTTTGATGATACTTGTTCTGCTCCTCTTCCTTTAACATCCTCCGTGGTGTAGTGGTTAGAGCATTCGTCCCCTGAAGGTGGAAGGTGGGGGTTTCGATCCCCGACCGCGTCATACCAAAAGACGTTAAAATATGGTACTAGTTAGTCCCTGCTTGGCGCTCGGCATTAATGGGTACAACAAGGACTGGTCGGCTCGGAGTCAGTATAATGTGTCTGAGTGGGGTATTCATGCTTAGCTGCGGCATGGTATCTTAGTGAGATAGCACTATAAACCAGCTTAAGTCTGGGCTAGTACAAGCAGCTGCACATACACACGCATGCAAGTGTGATGTTAAACCCCATTTCACCTGACCTCACCTCCTCTTCCTTTTACAGACAGCACGGACTTGGAGATACTACTGGAATCACTGGCAGACAGGGATATCATCATCTCCCTTGTTGCAGACGACGGCGCCAAGAAGTAATAATCTTTACAAACCATCTATTGTACTGAATATTTTTATGATATGTAATCATATTAAGTGAAATCTTGCTTAGCGATTTTTAACCCGAGTCAATCACTCACTCACTGTCTCATATGATATTCTTGGTCAAAAAAGGCTCCCACATCACTTGTCTCCCCAAGGCAGGAAAGACCCTTGCCTATCATGGTTGTTTTATACAGGAGAGAAGTTTACAGGTAGCCATGGACTGTTACTGATGGCATCATACATCAGAAACTGTTTTTTATTGTGTTTTTTTGTTGCTTGTTTAACGCCGCACTCAGCAATATTCCAGCTATATGGCAGCGGTCTGTAAATAATTGTGTCAGTTAATCCAGTGGTCAACCGCATAAGCATTAATCTACACAGCTGGAATACGATGACATGTGTCAACCAAGTCAGCGAGCCTGACCACCCGATCCCGATAGTCGCTTCTTATGACAAGCATGGTTTACTGAAGATCAATTCTGACCCGGATCTTCAAGGGTCCATCAGGAACTCACTGATTCTCCTTGTTGCAGACTGGGTTATATGGCCAGGGAGTTGCTGAACCAGATGGGGAGCGGACTCATCCAGAACCTCCGCTTCAGAGATGTCTGGTACTTTGTGGGACAGAAGGGCATTGAGGGATTCACCCAGCTGGAGCAGGTGAGCACCCAGACACTTGTAGCAGTCTGTTTTTCAGCATCACACTCTCTGCATACTCTCAGTCATTGGAAGGATTTGGTCTCTTTATGTTATTGTTTGTTTGTTGTTTAACACCGGACGCAGCAATATCCCAGCTATATGGTGGCAGTCTGTAAATAATCGAGTCTGGACCAGACAATCCAGTGATCAACATCATGAGCATCGATCTACACTGTTGGGATACGATGACATGTGTCAACCAAGTCAGCAAGCCTGACCACCCGATCGCGTTAGTTGCTTCTTACGACAAGCATGGGTTATTGAAGTCTAATTCTAACCCGGATCTTCACGGGTCAATATTGTAGAAACATCGCTAAATGGGACATAAAACAAATTTGAACTATATTCCAGGTTGCTGTTCCAGTGTGAGTATGTGTTCATAGGTTTCTGATGATGAGTATTAACTCTGAAGTGGGCAATGGTCAGTTTGTTTTCAATGTTATCTGCTATTTTTATCGCCACTGCATGTAATGCGGGGGGATATAGTCGACGCCTCATCCGTCTGTCTGTCCGTTTTCATTTTGTTTCCGGAGCATAACTCGAAAACCGTTCAATATCTTTCTTCAAGACTTGGTAGACATATCAACCATAAGCTAAAGTGGTGCCTTGTGCTATTTACAGATATTTGGCATTTTTATTTTTCTTGGTTTCCATGGAAACGAGTTGAACTTAATCTCAAAAGAGAGGGGTGGACTTCGTTTCCGGAGCACAACTCGAAAACTTCTAATATCTTTCAGCAAAACTTGGCAGAGATGTGAGGCAGATCCCAAAGTAGTGCTTTTTGCTTTTTGCAGGTTTTTGTCATTTTTATTTTTCTTGGTTTCCATGGAAATGATTTGGACTTAGCCTCAAAAGGGAGGGGTGGGTTTCGTTTCTGGATCACAACTCGAAAACCGTTCAAATTTTTCCTTATCTTGACTCATGCTTAATTGCTTGTCTTCTTCTTCTTGCGAACTATAGTGGAAAAACTTGAATCCCCTTTTGAAGCTCCCTTAAAAAAAGTGGACGTAAAATCACTCACCCCAGTTGCCTCCCTTGCATCCATCTTTTGGCGCGAAAAAGGTCACATGATCGGCCATGCTTTTCACTCTCTCCTTCTTCGCCCTAGTGGACGGTTGTGAGAGCGCCTGGGTCCCCTATACGGCATATATCCATTGAATTTTAGGCTTTTATACTAAATTAGGCTGTATAAGGGCTTTATCAAGGATTTACCAACAATATGGTTTGAAATTTATTCTAAATTTGTCCGTTTTTTCACGTTGTTGACAACATGTCTCAACTTGTTTACATTTTATGAAGACTTGCATTTCTTGCAGGTTTCGATTCTCAGCTGCTGATCCGCATTTACTATGTCCTAACTGCACTTCTATATGTTCTTCCAGCCTCCGCTGTAAACTTTGTCAGCATTTATCTCAAATTGAATTTTGTAATTATTTATATTCTGTTCATAGACGTGCCAAGGACAAATTGAGACGGCAGTTACTAGTCATGTCTCAACAGGGTGAATGCGTTAATAACCGTAGGTTGTTGTCTGTCGAGGTACATCATTCCAGTGTGCTGCCGGTGACGTCTGCAGAGCAGAGAATTGAGGGTTCCGGCCTTAGGAAAAGATCGTCTTCGACTCAACAATCCTCGTCGCAGTCTAAGAAGACCAGGATGCCGTCTGCTGCGAAGACTAAGCCGTCTTCAGACAAGTCTACAGTCAAGTCGTCAGTGGGGGCAGCGAAGAAGTCGAGGTCCTTCTCCGCAGATATCAACCCATCGGACGAAGCAGACGTTTACGATGAGCCGCCGATCCTCATCCCTGAAGTACCGTCGAGAAAGAAGACGAGGTCTTCTTCTACACTGATGTCTGCAACTATATCAACGCAGTCAGATGGCCTATCTGCGCAGACTGCAACTACCAGAGAGGACAGGCAGTCCTTAGATGACACCTCAACACTGTCAGATGCGGCGTCATCTGTACAACAACAGCAGTTATCAGCGCAGACCTTCAACCCGGGCATCCTTATGCAGCAGTTTACCCAGCAGATGATGGACCTGATGGAACGTAGGTTCGCTCAGGAGAAGACTGCAGAGAAGCAGACGAGTCTGCAAAGAGGACGAACATCGTCTACACCTCAGCGGGATGGAGGACGCAACCTGCGTGAAGAAATCGTTCGTGAAGGGAACGCCCAGGATGACAACAACGGCCGTGACAAATCTCGCGAAGGCATTCGCAGAAGGACCACTGGTGAAGACACTCTTGGAAACAACAACCGAGACAACACCTGTGAAGGCATTCGCGAAGGAAACAACAATTATAAAAGAACTCCTGCTACAGATGAGGAGCATTCGCGAAGGCATCGCAGATCATCTTTATCCTCGGACTCAGACAATTACCAGAGGTCTACGCGTACACCACGCAGAAGAGTTTATATGCCTTCACAGGTCACCGTCGCACAGATCCTCGGCAAGATCTTCATGGTCGTCACCACGCAGATACAGATCACCTAGTACATCTCCAATTAGGCATTCACGAGTGCCTGCGCGCAGGCTTACACATAGATCTCCACATAGAGATCAGGACCAACAACAACGATTTTCGGAACGAGACACATCGAAAACCGGAAGATGATGGAGGAGTCATCTTCTCCGATACAGAGATCAAATCATGGATGGCTAATGGTCTGGAGCTTGCATCGCCATCTAAAGAGAATAATGAAGCCTACACGTACATGATGTCTAACGGCGATTTTGACATGCTAACGCTGCCACCCATAGATCCGGTACTGGACGTCCCAGACAACCTCAGCTCAGCCTTTAAGAAGGCAACGAAGTATCACAGTCAAAGCATTCCACCGTTTAATGCTTAGATATTTTCACTACATCATATGGAACCATTCATGAAGGCAACCCGTAACTTGTATGATGACAAGTGGCAAGGTTTTGAGAAAAAACGCTTGGAATAAAGGCTTCACTGCAATGGAAGCATCACATCCTCAAGTGGTGGAAAACCTTTGTCATCTTAGACAGACAAAACGAATGAAGGGATCTACACTCTCTACATACCTAGCGGCCTTGAGCTCAGTTATCACGATGAAAATGGGTATAAAACTGACCAAAGTACCAGAGATACTGGCACTACTACGCTCATTCAAGTTGGAAGACCAACAAAGAAAATTCAAGGCACCCGCTTGGGATCTCAATGTGGTTCTACAACATCTTACCAGTGAAGATTTCGAACCGCTAGAAAGGACATCATATGAGAAATTAACTCATAAAACACTGTTCCTCGTAGCCTTAGCTACAGCGGCAAGGATGTCAGAAATTCAGGCTCTAGACTTTGAGATTTGACACGCCATCGTGATACAGTGCATCTGGGTCTAAGATGGGATTTTATAGCAAAGAATCAACTGCCCGGTCAATCAGACAGACAATTCCATATCCCAGCACTTTCATCGATATTAGGACCACAGGATACGCAAGATCGATCCTTATGTCCAGTCAGAGCATTGAAAATATATCTACAGAGATCTTAATTGAGGGGAGACGAAAATTCAAGCGCCTTTTCATCCCTGTATCTACGGAGACACCTACAGAAGTCTCACGTACAACTATATCAATATGGATGAGAGCCGCCATATTGAGAGCCTATAAAGCAGCAGCACTTGATCCTCCACGAGCCTCCAATCCTCATGAAGTCAGAGCACTGGCATCCACGCTAGCTCTGCACGGAAACTGCTACATATCAACAATAATGGAGGTCTGCTTTTGGAGATCGGAGACGGTATTTGCCAATCACTACCTCAGAGACATGGCTACAGAGGACGTCTCCGGCAGACCCTGTACTTGTAAGGACTTACTTGTACATAAGAAGGATCGCTTCTCCACTTGATGCAAGCATCAAGAGATGGAGTTGTATAAATCCACACATAATGTCAGGAGAAGATTTCCAGGATAAATCTGACAAGTTGTGGTCCCCCCACTCATCAGAGGAAGCTGGAAGAAAGGACAAATGCCATTAGAAGTTCCCAAGGGGGTATAAGGACGTAAATCAGCAGAGAATCCAGAGTGGCTTGACCCACCACCGTTTCCGTCGGATTCTACAAGCAATTAAGCATGAGTCAGGATAAGGAAAAATATGTAATTTTCTGACTAAAATTGATATTTTATACTTATCCTGACTCATGAGGTTAGCCCTCCCAACCTCCCCTCATGGCACTCTGGATTTCCCTGCAAATCCAAGTGTCGGGCTCGAATTAACGGAGAGAGTAACAAGCATGGCCGATCATGTGACCTTTTTCTCGCCAAAAGATGGATGCAAGGGAGGCAACTGGGGTGAGTGATTTTACGTCCACTTTTTTGAAGGGAGCTACAAAAGGGGATTCAAGTGTTCCACTATAGTTCGCAAGAAGAAGAAGACAAGCAATTAAGCATGAGTCAAGATAAGTATAAAATATCAATTTTAGTCAGAAAATTACATTATCTTTCTACAAGACTTGACAGATATATCAAACAGATCTTGAATTATTGACTTTTGCTGTTTGCAGATTTTTGCCATTTTTATTTTTCATGGTTTCCATGGAAACGATTTGGACTTAGTCTCAAAAGGGAGGGGTGGGTTTCGTTTCTGGATCACAACTCGAAAACCGTTCAATATATTTCTACAAGACTTGACAGATATATCAAACAGATCTTGAATTATTGACTTTTACTATTTGCAGATTTTTTACATTTATATTTTTCATGATTTCCATTGAAGCGATTTGGACCTAGTCCCCAAAAAATCAAGTTGGACTTTTAGTAATTGTCAGTTGATTTGTTCTTTCAAATTTATGGGGGCCAGGGAGATTTGTCATCCACTGATGACTCGTTTGTTTTGTTATGCATTTAATCAGTTAAAATTTGAAGGTTAACTTTTACTGTTCATTTTTCAATTTTCTCTCTTGGTTTCTTTGATCTAGCAAAGATGGATCATACATAAATTGTAACTATGTTTTTATCATTTTGATGAGGGACAATGGAGTAGCCTAGTGGTTAAGGAGTTCACTCATCATGCCAAAGAGCTGGGTTCGATTCCGCACATGGGTATAATGTGTGATGGTGTCCCCTGCCGTGATATTGCTGAAATATTGTAAAACCGGTGTAAAACCATACTCACTCATCCATTTTGATGAAGACGTGGTTCACATGGATTTCAACTTTGTTGAATTCATGATCTGTTTGACATGCCTCTTCATGAACTATCATTCCTTTTTTGTTTTTGAATTCATGTTATTACATTGTTTTCTTTGGTCATGTTGAAAGGCTGTTGGAGTAGGGGTAGTAACATGGTGCTCAAAACTACTGGGGGTAGTTACATGGTGCTCAAAACTACTGGGGGTAGTTACGATGGTGCTCAAAACAACTGGGGATAGTAACATGGTGCTCAAAACTACTGGGGGTAGTTACATGGTGCTCAAAACAACTGGGGGTAGTTACATGCTGCTCAAAACAACTGGGGGTAGTTACATGGTGCTCAAAACAACTGGGGGTAGTAACATGGTGCTCAAAACAACTGGGGGTAGTAACATGGTGCTCAAAACAACTGGGGGTAGTAACATGGTGCTCAAAACAACTGGGGGTAGTTACATGGTGCTCAAAACAACTGGGGGTAGTAACATGGTGCTCAAAACAACTGGGGGTAGTTACATGGTGCTCAAAACAACTGATGGTAGTAACATGGTGCTCAAAACAACTATGGTTAGTTACATGGTGCTCAAAACTATTGGGGGTAGTTACATGGTGCTCAAAACAACTGGGGGTAGTTACATGGTGCTCAAAACTATTGGGGGTAGTTACATGGTGCTCAAAACTACTGGGGGTAGTTACGATGGTGCTCAAAACAACTGGGGGTAGTTACATGCTGCTCAAAACTACTGGGGGTAGTAACATGGTGCTCAAAACTACTGGGGGTAGTTACATGGTGCTCAAGACAACTGAGGATAGCTCAAAACTACTGGAAGCATGAATATCACCAGAAGTAGAGGATGCAATGTGTACTTGAGACCGGCTCCTGCTAGATGTGCAAATGACTACCTAACAGGGGTCACTCTCACTGTCTGTCCACAGACCACCAAGTTTCTGCATGTTATAATGCTGTTGGCTTATCCATCTACTATCTGTTCACTCATGATTAGAAAGTAGGCTTGACATGATCTATGGAGTTGTCTTCTGGATTTCCTGAAGAGGTATCTTACTGGAATAAAAAACCTGATTATAATGACGTAGTTTAAAATCCCACCGAGTGTGTCCGCCTTATTATATATGTGATGTCTATTTTCAGATCAGCTATGCAGGATTTGAAGGTGAATGGCCAAGGGCTGTGAAGAAATCATTCTGTGTTCCCAGAAAACGTAAGATTTGAAGTCGTCTAGTCTATTGTATTGACATGTTTACTAATATAGTGTTTGTGGTCATCATCTCCAGGTATGGTGAAGGGCGGTGGGGTAGCCTAGTGGTTAGAGCGCACGCTCGGCACGCCAAAGACCCGAGTTTGATTCCTCACATGGGTACAACGTGTGAAACCTGTTTCTGGTGTCCCCTGCTGTGATGTTGCTGGAACATATTAGTGGCGTAAAACCATACTTGATTGATGGACATGGTATAAGGCTCATATGTTTTCTCTGACCCAGCGTGGATTATTTACAGATTGCTGTGATGTAGCTGGCCTATTGTTTCATACTGAGTAAAGAAATAACTCAGCAAATTCTGCTTGGATTACGGCAGTGCCTGGTGTGGGATTGTGCTGTCTCCATGGAAACAACAACTTCCAGTATAACCTTGTCTGCAGGGTGTCATTGTTGACTTGGCTGATGGCTCACATTATGGACATTTATTTGTCTGGTTGATTGTGATATGAATGTAATTCCTGTCAATACAATGCCTGGCTGCTGTTACCATATTCCAGCATACTTTCATTTGTTGATGGGGCGGTGGGGTAGCCTAGTGGTTAAAGCGTTCGCTCGTCAAGCCGATGACCCGGGTTCGATTCCCAACAAGGGTACAATGTGTGAAGCCCATTTCTGGTGTCCCCCGCTGTGATATTGCTGGAATATTGCTAAAAGCAGCGTAGAACCTCACTCACTTTACTGCAGCCTATATCCTAGGCAATTCATTGAGAGACCTCCTCTGATTTGTGTGTTATTTCCTCCAGTTAAAGGTCAGAAGATTGTCCCGGATCCTGATGTTTACCGAAATGATGGCAGGAGGGAGTTTTGTAAGAAATATGACGGATACCCAGAGTTCTGTGACCGTAAGTGTCCAACTATTGATGCACTGAAATCATCAGAGTTTGTTGACAACATGTCAGTTTAATATTTTCACTGCAGGTCATATCACCTTGGTATAAACAATTATCAGTGAAATGTTGGTTTAATGTGGTGAAGAATGCAGGTGTTATAACAACTTAATTATTGACTTGAGTTACCTCCCTTACATTTTGTTTGGGTTTGTTACCTCCCTTCAATTATGTTTGGTGTATTGATTCGTCATAATTCCAGATGTGTTAGGAAATTCTGTGTGTGGATGTTATAAGGGTAATGCTATTTTTGAGGGCATTATCATTTGCAGAAGCCCGAGGTCTTCCATTAACTGTCCGACGAAGGAGGGCAGTTGAAAAAGACCGAGGGCCTCTGCAAATGATAATGCCCTTAAAACATAGCATTACCGTTATTATTGCTAAAATACATGGAATTTGTGTTGAAAAGAAAAAGGAAACATTGAAGGAATTTGACTGTAAGTTTACTCAAAACCAACTTCTGACGGGGTTGACTGCCCGAATGCAATTATGTCATCGAACAATTCAAGTGACATCACAACAGAAAGTGACGATATTCGACCTTGGCCTTTGACAAGACCATAGCCTGCAACATGTCAAACTAGTCAGTGTTCGGTTTGGGTCCAACAACAACGTTAATAGTGCAATTGTTAAGGTTAGCACCAGCAAGAAAGCCAACATTTCCGCTATTTAAAGTAGGAATTCGGGTTGCTTTGACTCGTTTGACCCAGAATATCTGCCAGTCCAAAGCAAATGTCGAATGAACTGTAAGCCCACGCACCAACTATGACGTCACTTGACGACAGAACTGATAGTGGCCCGTCGGTAAGGTTGAACAGTCCAATATCATTTGCAGTGGCCCTGCAAATTTCTGATAATAGGAGGGCCGTTTCATGATAATTCCATGTATTTTAGCTATAATAGATGGTAATGACGATGGTTTTACGTTTTCTAGTATTAATTAACTGATGTTGAGTAGATGTTACTAGATGTCCAGTGTTGAATGTTAATATATGGGTGTTGTATGTTTTGGCAGTACATATGGTTGGAATAAGTATTTTTCTTGCAGCTACCCATGTGGATGATTTCCTGAAGCCAGTAGGAGTTGTGGACAAAGCACTACAAAACCATCGCATCTTCTCCACACCCATTATTGTGGTGCCAGGTGGGTAACAGAACAACTTCTCCCTGTCATTTTGTTTTTTTAGATAAAATCTTGGGACAAAAAAATCATTAACATTTATTGGAAGGATTTAAATATAAAAAAATACGTTTTGTATGAGGTTATTTGATGATGTATTATGTTCCACTCTGACATGGGTCGACCTACGTCCTTGGAAGATCATGGTTAGAATTGATCTTCAGCAACCCATGCTTGTCTCGTAAGAGGCGACTAATAGGACCGGGTTGTCAGGCTCGCTGACTTGGTTGACAAATGTCATTGTATCCCATTTGCATGGATTGATGCTCATGCTTTTGATCACCGGATTATCTGGCCCAGACTCGATTATTTACAAACTGACGCCATATAGTTGGAATATTGCTGTGTGCGATGTTAAACAACAAACATGTCCTGTATCAACTTGGGGAACATTCCAAGCTTGTTCATGTTCATTTTGAAACAAAAGCAACATACATTGTCCCATGTTCGCTGACACTAGCTGTTTGTTGTCAGGGTTGAACCACAATGCTCTGGTACGGACTCTGGAGACGACGCTGATGCAGCCGGGGATGAAACCAGACATGGTGGCTGTGAGTAGATCTACAGATTATAGCTCCTCACACAGATCTCTGGACAGTACATATAGCCCACATGGGTTTGAACTGATGATTGAAGGATTTGTTTGCTTTTAACATGTGACTAGTCTGTACATGAGTTTTAGCTCATGCTATCTATCACTGGTTCTTGTGGCGTGGGTTCTGGACCACAAAGGGATCTCAAGTTGGCAGTAACACCCATTTTTTGTGACACAATTTTCAGACCACTCATGACTGTTCTGTTCAAAATTAATGACAACTGTTAACAAGTTGAAATATTGCATGTGCGGCTTTTTGCCTTCAGGGTTTGTAGGGAAGCTTGGTGGTTAAAGCATCCGCNAAGGGTTCGTCATGACAAAGGCCAGGGTTCGATTCCCCGTATGGGCTCAATTGTGGTGCCCATTTCTGGTGTCCCCGGCCATGTTGTTGCTGGAATATTGCTAAAAGTGGCTTGGAACCATACTCACTCACTCGCTCACTGTATTGCCTGCAAGTGTAATTCATTATATGTTGGTGCGAGTAGTGCAAGTGTTGGCTGTATGTGTGCGTCCTTATCATCTTGACCATCTTGTTTCAGGTGATGTGGGATGAGAAATTTCCAGAACATGGAGATCTGGCTGATTTGTTTGGCTTCAGGAATGCCAGCTTGAAAAGCAGCGTGCAGTATTATGGTCAGTTTTACATTTTATTGATTGGTGAACCTTCACCGTAAATGTCCGCAAGTGCTGTCGCTCCGTAGTAAAAATATCAGACTGGGTTCCCTGGGTCTTGAAATCCTGGTGCAAGTCTTGTTTTACAATGCAATTCAAATAATTTTTTCTTATCCAGACAATTTGTAGTCTGGATCTCATACTTTGTGTACCCTATGGTGGGGGCGATTGGGGTAGCTTAGTGGTTAAAGCGTTGGCTCGTCACACGAAGATCTGGGTTGAATCCCCACATGGGTACAATGTATTGTGAAGCCCATTTCTGCGTCCCCTCACCGTTGATGTTGCTGGAATATTGCTAAAAGCGTAAACCAAAACTCAGTCAGTCAGTACCCTGTGGTGGCTGAGTTGGTTTAATAATGGTTGACTTTATTGTAACTGGATGTTAGGTGCCTGACTCTTAGAGTGTGTGATCGAATCCCGGATAAGACTCACCCAACAAAAATACCAGACTTTTTACTTTCACGGTGTAATCCTGACTATAACATATGTTACGAGGTAATTATGGGTAAATAGAAACATATTTATTAACAAGTACTTCCTTAATTGTTTGTGCTATTTTAAGAAAGGATTTTCTATCATCAAATGATGGATATCAGTAATGACATATTAGATGTATTTCATCTCCAAGCGATATTTGTGTATTAAGAATTTGTACCTCCATTAAATAGAAAATCATCTTGATGTCAATTCTTGTAAACAAATCAGTTGACAATAAATTCACAGGCACGCCCCTGAAAGGTCAATTATACCACATCAGTGAAAGCGTTCATTGCAAATGAACAACCCAAGCAAGCCGCCCACTTCATTATTGGCCAGTTAGAAGACATTGCAAGCATTTGTGTGTGGACAACATTTACTTTAGGTAAACAAAAATACAAACAATACTAAACTGCAAATCAAATGTCACAAATGACTTGCATTTGATAATTCATTTTATTTGACCTTTTTTGTAAATACTGTTATGTTTCCTTATCCTGACTCATGCTTATTATGCTTGTCTCCTCCTTCTATGCTTAATGATAGTGGAAAACTTGAAATCCCTTTGTAGTTCCCTTTAAAGCGAGGAAGTAAAAGTACACTCACCCACGAAGTTGCCTCCCTTGCATAGTGTATCCCGCCAAAACAGTCACATGACTAACCATGCTTGTCACTCTCTCTACCTCAGCTCTATTGGATGGACTGGCAGGAACTTGGGAGTCCTATCTGGCACTATATCCTTTTATATTTTGACCCTTTGGCAAAGAATTGGCTGTATAATGGGTTTTGGGGTCTGTATTATTATTCAGTGCATATAGGAATTATGTCCAAATTTAATGTGAAATATTGTTGTTTTCATCACACGTATTTGTTGTTTACAGTTGATGAAATCGCGGTTCTTTGCAGGCATCGGCTGTCTGGCGGCTGATCCAAGACTCCCCTTTGTCCTTCTTGTACTAATTCAATGCTCTGCCAGCCTCTCTCAGTCAATATTGTATAAACTCCCTCATCCTCTTTTCCTTCAAATTTAATAACTATTTATTGCCCTTAGTTTAGGCATTACTAAAGGACAAGCGTGCTGTCGGCAATTCGCAAATGAAACTAATGCTTCTAGCGATCGTCTGCCCAGTTCGCTGCGGGGCAGGCCTTTGCCATTATGCAGCGCGAGACGGCAGCCGTCAGAGTTAGCTTCCATTGGTAGTAGATATACCTTGAGTTCTGTTATGAAGAAGAAAGGCGTCCGCGTCAAATCATCTTCGAAGCTCCTCCCAGTTCTACTAGACCTGCTCATCAGGCGATAATTCAACGGCGATATCGCCTCCCCGGCAGAGGTAGATAACTTCGACGACTACCGATTTGCGCTTACCAGAAGTTACCCTAAGTCAGCAAAGTGTCAAAAGCTTTAACGTCGTCGGCCGGATCTCTATCGCTCAGCCGCCTCTATCAAGCGCCAGCAGATGATTAGAGATTGTCCCGCCATCGTCGCCCAGACATGGGGTTAGAGAGAGAACATCAGCGTTTCTTCGCTTCGCTCACAACGCAGATCAGAAGATGGGCCAGCGCCAGAACTTTGACCCGGGTGCATTGATGAAAACAATTCACTCCAGCAAATGCTATCCTCGATGGAACAGAGGTTCGCCTTCAAGAGAAGGGATTACAGCAAGCTTCGACACAGTAGAAAAGCTTGGGAATAGAATCCACTCCACAGGATGCAGCACTCGTGGATCATCAGTCGGCCGAACAGCCGCATCCACGGATCATCATTTCTCTGATGAATGCAGTCACGATGCAGGATAACCAGCGTCGGTGAAGGTCTCACCTACTGAGAGTTCAACGTTCTGGCGGCTCCAGAGGGATCTGCAAATCATTAATGAGGAGGATACAGTTCGAGAACATCGCCCGCTCTATCTCCAGGGAATCTCCTCCAGGCTGAACACACCACGTTAGTATCAAGCAGATCTTACAGTCATAGATCTACTTCACTATCCTAAAGGGAGGAGCGTTACCTCGTGAACAAGAGAATCTTCTGCAAATCAGGATGAGAGCATTCGCTAAAGGATCATTCCCGCAAAAGGTTTCGGATCCCTGAAGGAACGACCTCAGCGATTGTAGCGAAGCAAGGGGATTCGCGAAAAGACACACCTCGCATGACAAGGATGAGGGAGAGTGATGGGATCTTCTCTGATGCAGAGGTTACTCTCATGGATCGCAAGTGGTCTCGATGAATAGCCTCTCCATCCATGGAACAGAATGAAGCACTCACTTACAGAATGGTTGATGATGGCTTTTGATCCTTCCAAACATTGAATCTCCAAACATGGCGAAGCGCCTCAGGGTCGGATTCCAGCTTCGCGAAGGAAGAATACAACTACATTACGTTGCAGCGATTTCTGAGCGATTCACCTCAGCAATACAGAGTTGATAACTCTGCCGGAGAGTCTACAACCAAGTCCGGAGAAAATGTTTGCGGAGGAACTTATTTGCCACGAAGAGCGGTTTGCGACCTTACATCTGTACCTGGATCGTCGCTACAAGATGGGGAGCACTCCTCGAGAATCAAGGTATTAGCGGCAGGAAAGTGATCGGGAAGGAACGACATCTGCATCAATCAATCAAGAGATGAAAGCAGTCATCAGCGCTTACCTTGTCCCCAAGTCTCTGATCCAGCCAGTATTGACAGTACACCACGGACAACTCCACAGATGCACTTTATATCAGAACAGGCTCAACAAGATCCAATGAAGTCTGCTACATCTCATATTTCATCTGTTTCATTAATTGTGGACAAGCTGAACATCTGGATAAAGGCGTGTCACATTCGAGCAAAGAACATCCTAGCAGATGCTCTGTCTAGCCACAACAACCATCCCTGACAGAATGGATGCTTCATCGGGCGTTTCATCTCATCATAAGGGACGCTTAGGATCTCCACTTATAAATCTGTTAGCCACAAGGTTCAACAGACAGATACAGCGTTTGTCTCACCGGTACCAGACCCGCTAGCATGGACAATAGACGCATTGAACATGTTCGTGGGAAGGACTAAAGCGCTCGCTTTTCCACTGCGGTTCTAATCCGCGGAAGAACTCGAGAAAATCAGGCAGACTACAGTCCTCCAACTGAATTTGGTTCAGCCCTTTTGGTCCAGCGAGTGTGGTTTCCAGATCTCATTCAAGAACTAGGAAAGCATCCCGGAAAAGCCAACCTACCAGAATGTACCGAATCTACTGGTTCATCCACACACCAAGCAAGTTCACGGGAATCCGGCAGTGTTCCAGCTTCACACATGGACAGTATCAAAACTTGCCTGAGGAAGAGGCTACTGGTTATTCCGCCAGAGCAGCTTAAAGCGGTCACCTAGCTCTTCGCAGATCTACTCGCAACCTGTATGATGACAAATGGCAGAGGTTTCAACAATATACCTGGCGCCAAAGGGTTTCCGCAGCAATGAAAAGCATCTCATCCTCAAGTGGCGGATTACTTATGTCATCTACGACAGACTAAAGAGATTGAAAGGTCCGACCTTATCTGCGTACTTTGGGGCTTATTAGCACAGTACTGACCATGAAGACAGGCAGCAAATTGATGAAAGTACCAGGAACTACTGGCCTTACTACGTTCTTTTAAGCTGGAGGATCAGCAAAGAAATTCAAAGGCACCTGCGTGGGATCTCAATGTGAGTACTACAACATCTCACCAATGATACCTCGTTAGACGCCACGCCTTACGCCAGAAACCTGTTTCTAGCCTTAGCCACGGCAGCTCGAGTATCAGAGATACATGCGCTGGATTTTGGACGAACTCGGTTCGACACAGGACATCGTGCGGTAGCACATTTAGGACTTAGATGGGATTTTGTGGCAAAGAATCAGCTACCTGGTCAACCAGATAGACAGTTCCATGTACCAGCATTATCAACAATCCTCGGGCAGGAGGATGTACAGGATTTATCTCTATGTCCGGTCAGAGCATTGAAAATTTACCTTAACCGGACAAGAACAAGGAGACAGAAGTTCAAGCGCCTGTTCATCCCGTTGTCTACAGAGACATCCACAGAAGTCTCCAGAACAACAATATCCGTATGGATGAGAGCCGTTATACTAAGGGCCTACAAAGCAGCAGGACTGCCACCTCCAAGTGCATCCAACCCACACGAAGTCAGAGCTTTGGCGTCTACTCTCGCTCTGCATGGGAATTGCTCGATAACATCAATAATGGAGGGCTGCTTTTGGAAATCTGATACAGTGTTTGCCAACCACTACCTGAGAGACATTGCCACGAAGACGTCCTCAGGCATTCATTCGAAGTTTGGGCCATTTGTTGTTGCACAACAACTAACGGTTCCACAGAGGCGTTGAATTGAAAATCTCACCCTCTTATCACGTGACTTGCTGATAACCTTCGCTCTGGAGAGTCTTGGTTGAGAGTCCATGTTTACGTCTAAAACAGACCAACATGAGTGATTTAGACCTTGTACTTGTACGGAAGTACTTGTACGTGAAAAGGGTCGTCAACTCTTACGATAAGAAGATACTTCTTATATGAGTTGTTATAGATATCTAGCAAGGATACACTAGTATATCTTAAATCCACATGAATCGTAGATTCACTTGTCTTAAAGAAGTCTGACAAGATGTGGTACCCCCGAGTTGGCAGATGGAAGTTGGAAGAACAGGATTGTCAAGAAGTGCCGTATGATAGTTCCCATGGGGGTAGATACAGGACGTATCTAGGACAGCCAATAAATCCGAGAAGGTGACCTGACCCACCACCAATCCGTCAGATTCTGGAAGCATAATAAGCATGAGTCAGGATAAGGAAAAATATGTAATTTTCTGAATAAAATTGATATTTTATACTTATCCTGACTCATGATGTCAAGCCCTCCCAACCTCCCCACTAATGGCAGTTCGGATTTCTCAGTAAATCCACGTGTCGGGCATATTACGGAGAGAGTGACAAGCATGGTTAGTCATGTGACTGTTTTGGTGGGAAACTATGCAAGGGAGGCAACTCGTGGGTGAGTGTACTTTTACTTCCGCTTTAAAGGGAACTACAAGGAATTTCAAGTGTTCCACTATCATTCGCATAGAAGGAGGATACAAGCATAATAAGCATGAGTCAGGATAAGTATAAAATATCAATTTTATGCAGAAAATAACATTTTGTTTTACAGAGCAAATGGCCAAAGCTATGAGAATGATAGATGTGGTCTATCCTGATTCTGTAAGTATTGCTTTTTAGGATAGACTAATCTTTATCAAATGTTTGTTGATAGTTCCCAGTATTGAATATTCACCATCCTTTCACAGTGGCTTCTAGATTTGTTCATTTTCTCTTCTTTGATGAAAATTATCAGTAAAATAATAAACATGGCCTTCCTTAATCGGAAAGATTTCTTTTGTCGTAAACCAAGACAAGAGGGTTTGCTTGGGTCTTCTTGTGGTTTAAGTGTTCTCGTCTCATCGCCCAAACTGTTTCTTTATTCTGTATGTGTGTAATGTTTTAAGAGTCGTTCCATCCACCATCATTTAATATCTCGGGGAGGATGGGGATTGGCAGAGATTGACAGGTTGGAATAGTTTTCAAAGAAATAACGAGTTCTGCAAAATAGATTGATGTCCTGACTGGGGAGATATCCTCTCTCAAACCTTTGATTATCATGGAGCATGTTTTGCTTTCAGAGTCATGTGATCGTGCTGGAGGAAGAGCTGCTGTTGGCTCCCAACTTCCTCCACTTTATGTCCCACTTCCTCCCGGTGCTGGACGCTGACGACAGCCTCATGGGTGTCTCAGCCTGGAACTATAATGGTGGGTAGCAGTAAAGAATCTTTGAACAGCAGTTAGAAGTGATACACATAAGGAAACAAAACTAGGAAACAGATAGCTATATATGTACATGTGAAACAACAACAGTGATAAGATAACAATGGAACCCCAGAGCTCCAGATAAGCCTTTGGCCATGTGGGTATGATACCAATACTATTTAAACTAAGTGGGTATTTCCAATTTCAAGTGGGTATCTATACTTTTTGATACCCACCATATTTTTAAGATTCGGGTATTCATTTCAAATAACAAGTGTAAGAGGTGTGCCTGACACACACTACAGCATGACCTCATAAGACCTTTTTTTATTCAAAATTAACCATGGAAATGTTCTTTTCCATGTAGCAACTGTTTTTTTCAAAACCTTGTTCCCATCATGTTGTTTCACTTCCATGCCGAGAATAGCTAATGTTACAAGTTCATTTAAGATATCACGGGCAATTGATTCTGATTGTGAAACACAGCATAATATTAATTCATCTAGCAGTCCTCTAATGAAGTTGTTTTCTGTTTGTAGCATAAGAAAGCTAGATATTTTACTTTGAGCATGTGGAAGCTTTTGACCATGTTTGTTTTGTTTACAGGACATGTACACAGGAAACAGCTGTTTGATTGGTCGCTATTTATAGATTGGCCAACCAGTGAAGGTTTACAAACTATGACTTGTATTCTGTCTGTGTTGAGCATCTTAATTGTGTTTAGAATTATTCAAGAATATTTTAATCACAAATATTTGGAGATGGAAAAGTTTGTTCCGATTGGCTTGAATTGATACGATGCCAACATAATTTTGATGTATTGGGTAAATACGCATTCTTATTTTGACATAGTGTAAATGTAAATATTTAGTGTGTTTTCATACGCTGGCATTTAGTTTTCTTGCGTATTTCAACTTTTCTATAGTGTATTATAAACAAATACGCAGCTTATCTGGAGCTCTGGAAGCCAGTAGTTAATTTGTGCTTAATTTGTACTGTGCATGGACAAATGGACACCAGAGATTGTGTACCAGTCTGTGTACCAGGCATGAATGATCAGATAACAATGGTATCATTTAACAAGGGAAGTGACAATGTACTTGGAAGCCAGCAGTGATGTTTTAAATTAAAAGTCCCAAGCATAAAGATATCTGATTCCTACTTTTTTTCATTCACCTGATTAAGTAAGTAAAAATATACTCTGAAACATCGTGTTCCCCAAATAAAGAACCTGCCATCCATAAATTCTCCTCACGGTCAATAATAATAATTAGAAGGTTAATAGTCGCATGACTTACCCACCGGGTACCCAGTTTCTGCTCAGAACAGAGGCAAGTTTGAACAAACTGACTTGCCTAAGCTGAGACCACATGCTTTGCTTTGTTTTGGGGCAGGACTGAAGTCCTAGAAACTCAGACATTACAGACAGTTAAATTACATTTCTGATGTCATTCCATTGTCTGCTCGCTCCATTACTTTTCAGGAATGGAGCGATGTGTACCAGTTTCAATTTAAAGCCTTCATTTTGTCATTTTGACATTTAATTTTGATAGCAGAAATATTCCCAATACTTTGAATGTAATTTAAGTAGGGTAAATCCTCGTAACTCTCCATTCCTTAAAAATAATGTGCCTAGGCTCCATTATTTTTAAGGAATGGAGAGTTACTGAGGACATTACCCTCTACGTACACTCAAGTGAGAGGATATGCATCAGCAGTGGGTGTCAAAGTCAAGATACAGCTGAGGTTAGTCAACATCATTCCCAGCTACTAGAAACAATATGCCCTCATGCCAACATCATCTCAAATATTTCAGACATTTTGTACGATATTCCTCTTGTTTTCAGGTTTTGAGAAGTTGTCAGGAAACAAGAATCTCATCTACAGGGTGGAGGAGTTCCCCGGACTTGGATTCCTTCTGAAAAGCAAACCATTCCTGAAAATACTCACGTCATCCATACACAAGTGTTGTAAAGACAGGTGAGATGCCATATGTTTACAGATCTATGCGAATAACACGGGTAGCAGGGATGGAGTCATCCAACAACTGACATCGTTGTCAGCTTCTCTAAAGGGTTAACCTCTTTAGTCATGTGGACAAGGTGTCGGCTTTGCATTAGAAGGTCATTGGTTTGAATTCAATCTTGGGACCTATGATATTTTATGCCTGCTACATTGACGGCCAATGGGGCAGAACATGCTTATTCTAAATAAAGACCAGTGTCCAAATATGTAGCCTGCCACTTGCTTTCTGTTGATTGGGGAGAATGTAGCAGGGTGTGGTCATCCCACAGATGTCATCCTTACCCTGTCAGCAATCAGAGGGGGTTAACCTCGTTGGTCATGTGAACTCCCAGTCCAACTTCAGATAAGAAAGTTTGTGGTTTGAATCCCATCACAAGAGTCCAAAATTCATCATGGGCAGGCCAGGAAGGTCCCATGTATAACTGGTTCTTTGAGGTAGCCTAGTGGTTAAAGTGTTCACTCATAACACCGAAGACTGGATTCGATTGCCCTCAGTACAATGTGTGAAGCCCATTTCTAGTTTCCCCTGCTGTGATATTGCTGGAATATTTCTGAAAGCGGGGTAAAACTAAACTCACTCACTCACCTGTGTACCTATTGTCTTCGTGTGCAGAGCATGGGCGGGCTGGCGTCTGAGTGTGGACTACAATGGAGAGATCCTCGTCCCAGACATGTCTCGGGTCTTCAGACAGCCTTATCAAGGAGCAGATACAAGTAAAGAGCTGATAACACAGTTGTTTGGAAAACCCAGAACCACACTTCTGTAAGTATATTGTCTACACCAACACCAACTATAAAATGGCTGTTTAAACCAATTTGAAAATATCTTTCACCTGAAGAAGGAGATTTTCACCAATGCTAGATGACATTTAATTTATTAGAGCCGTGTATTGGCAAATAAATTGCATTGCAATATGTTGCAATTCTGGTACCTGTATTGCAATATGTATCTGATTCCTTCTTTTTCAGTAAAGAGTAAAAATATACCGTACTCTGAAACATCGTGTTCCCCAAATAAAGAACCTGCCATCCATAAATTCTCCTCATGGTCAATAATAATAATTAGAAGGTTATTAGTCGCATGACTTACCCACCGGGTACCCAGTTTCTGCTCAGTGAACAGAGGCAAGTTTGAACAAACCGACTTGCCTAAGCTGAGACCACATGTATCACACATGCTTTGTTTTGGGGCAGGACTGAAGTCCAAGAAACTCAGACATTACAGACAGTTAAATTACATTTGTGATGTCATTCCATTGTCTGGTCGCTCCATTACTTTTCAGGAATGGAGCAATGTGTACCAGTTTCAATTTAAAGCCTTCAATTTGTCATTTTGACATTTAATTTTATCATTTTAATTTTGTATCTTGACTATGACACCCACTGCTGATGCATATCCTCTCACTTGAGTTTACGTAGAGGGTAATGCCCGAGTAACTCTCCATTCCTTAAAATAATGATAATTATAATTATTATAATGATAATAATTATTAGACAAAATTGTTAACACTGCAAGTAAAATTGCTGGATTCAGATTTGAATGTTTATCATCAATGTATGAGCGGCTAAGCGTGAATCAAGCTGTCAAAATTATATCTGACCGTACTCACTACTTAAATTCGGAATACAACCTCCTCCCTTCAGGTACCTTTATTCCAGTTTGTATAGCAAGATGTATTGTGATAAATTGGGAGCTTCAGTGTTTGACAGTGAGTGATATTGATTGTACAGGCAGAGCCTATTTTCTACACAGCTCCAACAATAGATGTTATGGTCGGGATAACAGAAATCACAAATTTAGATTTGATTTTGAGGGATTGTATTTTCTTTTTGTACAACATTTATTGTATGTGAACTATGCTGTTTTTTTCAATAAATTACAATGAAAAGTTTCAGTGTGAATGAAAGTCTGTGTAGATTTTAACTTAACTTAAACCAAAGAGATAATCACAAAACTTCATATATTTTTATTGCTCAATATACTGGTTCAGAAAAAAAATCGCAATATGTATCATTTGAAAGGCGTATTGCCATATGTCGGTAATACCGTGCAGTCTTACTTTTTATGATTCATGTCAGCACAAAACAAATTCAGTAAGCCTACGTTAACCCAGGAGCCATTCCCTTGGTTCTCACAAACTCAGATTATCCGCCCTTGATTTCCATTTGCCAATTTGATTGGCTGTTCTATTGGGTCTAGTGTACCAATCAGAACCCATGGAGACATTCCCCTGGTTCTCATAATCTCAGATTACCCTCCCTTGATTTCCATTTGCCAATTTGATTGACTGTTCTATTGGGTCTAGTGTACCAATCAGAATCACCAGCGTCAACATAAGGTCAATAGTATTGTCATCATAGTAGCCAGTCCATTTGATTATGATCGAATTTGCGATAAAGTCATTATTAACTGATTGACATGCAAGTGGAAACCCTTAAAAATCTTTTTAATGAAAAAGATGTAATCATGTTCATTAAAACCAGCACTGGCTTTGGTGTGTACGTAACCTAAGTAACACCTGTACTGGTCCTCTCCCTAATGTGGATGTTTTATTGGTCGTTAAAATGTTCATGAAAATCAAGGAAATTTCGGATGGTAAGAACCTCTGTGGTTAGTTAGGTTTACGGAAATCAGAGCCCTGGAGATATTGAGGATGCAGCATTGCGGGAGGGAGCCATGGCATGATGAATCGTCAACCACGTCAGCAAGCTTGGCCACCCGATCCAAAAAAGTCACTTTTTCTGACAAGTGGTAGAGTGCTGGGCACTGTTTTTAAACTTGGTCTCAAGGGGTGTGATTGATGACGTGGGAAATTGCTGTAGTTTTTACTGAAATGCGGTCTCAAATTACCGAACTGATTTTTTCATGTAAGTGAATGTGGACATGGTGAAAGTCAGAAGTCTTCACTGTTCTTCTGTTGTCAGTGCCAAGTGAAATACCGTTTCATGTAGGAGGGTTGTTACAGTGTGTCACAGAACCATGGTAATTCCTGTCTGCATGGTTTTTCAAGTGGAGAGTATTGAGTTTCCAATTAGAAGTCTGTCTGTGAGCTGACTCTTCACTCAGAGAAGAAGCTGTGAATATCTTCAGGCAAACAAAACAAAGACTTTAGTCCGAGATGCCAAGTCATATGTGAACCTGGTTGTAGTGATTAATACTCCACTTAAAGATGCTGATATTTTTTGTTGGGATCCGAGCATCTTTGCCCAGTCTGACAAACTACCTCAGACTGTTAATCAGTTATAGGTTTTCAGATTTGGTTTTGTTATGAAACTTTAAGTGCTCTCCTTAATATGCTTCACGTCTGTGCACTAGACAGCTTGAAATGAAACTCCGTCAATTCTGTTATGTTTTTGAAGTTTTTAATTTAAAATGTTATCTTTGAGGCATGTGGAAGTAAAGATGTTTTTTTAAAGGATCACTTCCACTGTATGACATTTGATATGGATAAAGCAGTTTAGAAAACTAGTGCTCTCGGTTTTCAGTTTGTTGCAATCAAGTTATCATTTTATTTGTAACCTTGTCTGAAATTTGTAAAAAGATTTTATGAAACTAACTTGAAACTTTTGGCAAAGTGAAATGATGCCATGATTTGTGACCAAAAAGTAATTAAAGAATGAAGACTATTTTTATGGATATACAACTTCTTTAATCTGTATAGGCGACGTTTCGACATAGATCTAAATGTTGTTGTCAAGCAAGTGCTAAAAATAGTCCTCATTCTTCATCTACTCAACATCTAGAATGCCAATCAAAGAAAAAACAAACAACTTGTTATTATAGCCTGTCAATTTGAAAATGAAGCATACGACTATGGATAACAACTTCTTGTTTATTGCATAGAGCCGCGTTTTGATGTAGATTCTTAAACGTTATCAAGCTAAAGGTTGACAACTTGATAATGGTGTATGAATCTACATGAGAACATTGTTTTATGCAATAAACAAGAAAGTTGTTATCCAGAATGTTCTGATGAAACAATAACCATTTCAAATTTGAGGAGAACTGTTGCTGGGTCCTGTCTCAAAAAATCAATTAGATGTGTTTGAATGAATATTTTATTTTCACTGGCTGAAGAATGTGAATGTGTGTTTTGGCTGATCGATTCATTAAATGTTTTTGTTAAAAAGTGTTGAATGTTTTGGTTGAAATTATCATTGTTTGCAGAGATGGACCAACACCATTGACTGGGATGAGTAACTTGACGATGGTCTCGTATGAGCAGCAGCTGAAACACAACATAGCCAGCAGCGTCAGCTTCCCCATCACTGACCTTCAACTCTGTGTACAGAAGGTCAAGGACTTTGATGTGAAAATCTCCACAGATGAAAAGTAGGTTGTCTAATTAAAAAGTATGAGTTTAAGGCATGAAAGTTCCGATTCTAACAATAGATAAACCATGACAGACAGACAGATTGATGTTTGAAACTTTAATAGAAATAGCCCAATACATTTTGGAGTGCTTATGTAGTCAGTAGGCATCAGAAATGTAAATACACAATGCCATTTAGAAAGTGGTCAAATGTAACATGTTATATTTGGGATTACACTTTCTTAGTCAAGTACAGATTCTGGAACTTTTGTTGGGTTGAGAAAGTACTTTACTAAGAAAGTGTAATGCCAAATATCACACATGTTAGTAATATAAACTTCACATGTGTAGGTGGATATAGGTGTAGGTGACCTGTCATTTAAACTTCCTTCTTCTCTTAACTATACTACCCATCAAAAGTTTAGACTCACTAGTGTAAATGTAGCCACTTACTTGTCCACTGTTCTAAACTAGCTTTTTGCAAAATATTCCATACTGTTTAAAGGTACTGTTTAGTTATGAACTGGTGTATTGTAAAACATATTCGTAACATTGAAAAGATTATTGTCATGAGTTCAGTAAATGATTAAAATCTGTGAAAATTGGCGAATTCTTAACAAAACTTTACACCAAAACGAATCTGTTCACATGCACGACATTTGCTCATGCCTTTCGCAATTTGAAGCATCATCCTTGTGCAATTCATCTGCATAAGGTTTTCAGTTGGTTCCCCCAAGTTGGTGGAGAAATTCATCTTCGATGTAACCACATACATATACATAACATATAGTGAGTGCTTTAAGTGAGTCTAAACTTTTGATGGGTAGTATATATTTGGACCGCCTCCGTGGTGTAGTGGTTAGAGCGTCCGCCCGGAGAGCGGAAGGTCGCGGGTTCGATCCCCGACTACGTCATACCAAAAGACGTTAAAATATGGTACTTGTTGGTCCCTGCCTGGCGTTCGGCATTAATGGGTACAACAAGGACTGGTCGGCTCGGAGTCAGTATAATGTGTCTGAGTGGGGTATTCATGCTTCACTGCAGCATGGTATCTCAGTGGGCTAGCACTATAAAACCAGCTTCAGTCTGGGCTAGTACAAGCAGCTGCACATACACATACACACACATGCACGTCGTCATATGAGCGAAATATTCTCAAGAACGACGTTTAACCCCATTCCACCACCACCACCTCTTAACTATATTTGAATCAGATAAATATGTTACAGTATTAATGTTACATCAGACAGAACGTGTTTCTGCTGTAACAGTGTTAAATAAGTGAGAATTATGTGTTATAGTATGCTTTACTTATTTGGGATCATTGGGGTAGCTTAATGGTTAAAGCTTTGGCTCGTTGTGCCGAAGACTCGGGTTTGATTCCCCACATGGGCACAATGTGTGAAGCCCATTTCTGGTGTACCCCACCGTGATATTGCTGGAATATTGCTAAAAGCCGCATAAAACTGTACTCACTCACTCACTTGCTAAAAGCAGCATGCAACTTACCATACTCACTCACTCATATTAATGTGTTACCATAGGAACAGTCCTGCTTTCATTTTATTTTTTTTTAAAATGTGGTGAAATTGTTTTTTAACATGACTTAACTAATTCTGTGGTGACAATATATGTTTCTGTCATGTCTTTTTGTCTTGGAAGCGAGTTATTTTTCCTTATCCTGACTCATGCTCTTTTTGCTTGTCTGACTCATGCTCTTCTTGCGAACATAGTGGAACACTTGTATCTCCTAATTGAAGCTCCTTCAATTTAAAATCACTAATTAGTATTCACCACGAGTTACCTCCCTTTCCCTGGCGGGAGCGAGAGCCACCTCTACCCATGTGCCTCACTCTCTCCTTCTTAGCCCAGTGAGCTGGGCGTGAGGCGCCTGTGTCTCCGACACACTATATCCTTTGAATTATATTTAGTTAGTTACCTCGTATAGACATCTATAGAGGTTTAGCTAGTATCCTTCAAGCGATTATATATTGATATTTAGTCGTTTTCTACAGTTTATTCACGGGGCCGTGTTTGTTTCAGTGGATTACGTTGATGAAAATTCTGTACTATTGCAGATTACGTTTTTATGCTGCTGCTGATCCGCCTTTAATATGATGTATGCGGTAGCCATGTTTATTATATTCACATTGCAGTTGCGGTACTAATTTATCAATTCTACCTTTTATTAATATTTACTGCGTTTGCGCACAGCAGATAGGTGGCGTATGCAGAGTCTAGTATGACTGATACACGGAACCCTCGCCAGTCTACTGCTGTTGGCGACTCCCCTCCCGTGTGGTGTTCCGCTAGAGTGGTGGAGAGGTGTGGGGCGTAATCCGCCATCTCCAAGAAGCATCCTGCTTCCCCAGACATCCATCGTCGCAGCAGAAGACTAGAGGGTTTTCTACTACATCTCAACAGCGAGACCGTTCCCATCGCAGTTTGGGCCTGTATGATGATCAGCCCGGTCATCATACCAGATGTACATCAAAGATTGACCGATGTCGGCACAGATCAGCATGCAGCCTGATGTACCAACGCGCAGATATCACGATGATCGTCCTGAGGGTCCCATCATTACCAACACTCAAGCGCAGGCGTCGCACACCCAGGGCAGCGTCGACCTCTGAGGAAAATCAGCGAAGTCTACTAGGACTTTCTCAAGCGAGATTGTTCCAGCCGATGACCTGGACCTCTCGATGATCAGCTGATCATCATCCCGGCGTCACGCCACAAGAAAGCGACCGGTGACAGCTACAGCGACATCAGCAGAGATCACCATGCAGCCTGATGCCTCTACACTGATGTCGGACGATTTTCCGGTGGACCCTTCATTAACACCGCAGATAAAGCACCGGCGACCTGAAACCGTGCAGACCATCCCAGAAGACATGATGCGACAAATTATGAACATCATGGAGGACCACTATATCTGCGGTAGCAGGGTCGAAGCCAGCGAAGGCTCCAGCGTAGACAGCACCCCAGAGGCACCCCGTCAGCGTAGCAGCCAGGGACGATGTCACCTTCGCGAAGGAAGTCCGCGGACCACCTTGACGAAGGACCTAGATGTACAGCCCGCGAAGGCCAGCGCGAAGGCGGAAAGGACCTAGATGTACAGCCAGCGAGGCGGAAAGAACCTAGATGTACAGCCGAAGGACTTCAGCGAAGGCAGGATAAATCATCACCTTATGCGGTTTCATCCCTAGATGTGGACTCGGACCATCAGACATCACGGAAGCCTTCAGCGAAGGTCATATCGTCGTTCCCCGGACGGACGCAGAGGAAGCTTAGCGAAGGCATCGCGAAGGACACCTGAATCAGATCATCATCATCTAGAAGGACATCGAGGGACTATACAAGAGCTTAGCGAAACTATCAACGTTCCCCTCACAAGTCTCGAGAAGATCAACCCATAGACAAGTTGATCATCGATATCAAGTATAAGAACTACAATGCGTATATTGGTTCTGTTGAATCCATGGCGAGGCGTATGTTGGCTGGCCTAAATAGATCTAGAGCGATCAATTAGACACTTATCACCAGACTTAAGTAACCACGACTTCTGAATATGATAAGATGATCCATGCGGCCCTTCTTAGGCAAGCCGCCCGATCCACATCCTGTTAAACACAGAGGCTGTTCACGAAGCAAGCTCATATATATATTTATATATATATATATATACTAATCGGGCTTTGACTTCGACACCTTCGCGATGGTCGCGAAGGCTAAAGTAACTCAAGTCTACTTCACACAGAAGATCTAGAAGGGATACTTTGAGAACTTCGCGAAGTCTCGGCGTTCACCGAGGAAGTCTCCTCCAAGGTTTCCATATACTAGCCACTCGTCATATATAGCTACTCGTCAGTCCGTTCAAGGCGTCGCATAAGTTGATTATCAACTGTATGCCAGATGCGATCTATAAGCCCTCTGCGAAGATAATTGCTCAGGCTATTTACAACACAAGCGTCGCTGTATTATTAGTCAGCGACATTTCATAGATCTTCACAGAAATCAACTATTCATTATAAATTGCTAATATACAATCCCGGACTGACGATCACGATTATCTACATGCGTGACCATTACGCATATCTGCAGACAATTCAATATCGAAATTGAACAGCAGCCTTGTTACAGCCAGTATAACTCTTAATCGTCAAAGTTTCTGAGAGAAGAAATATGTACAACAAGTTCAACGTTAATTCTACAATTATGGCGATACATTCATGTATACAGTCTACAAGCTCACAACTTGCAAGTTGTTTATACCCCATATATATAAGGAAGTCGGAATTATATTCAAAACTGAAATTACTTTCCACGACAACCAGGAAAATAACCTACCCAGCATAAAATTACAGAGCGAGATATTTGGCCCGGAGGTTTCAATGCGATTACCATTAACCCTCGAAACGCGTGGTCACTTTCGGATAACCGGGAAGCTACGGTGAAGACCGGCGTTTATGCTAATATCAGCGGCGACAAGAATTTATTCAAGGTGGGTTTTCCCGCTACACGGTGACATCACAGCGGGTATTATACAGAATCAAAATGCCTTGTTCTGATTGGACGCGAGGGACAACGACCTACACAGAGGTCGATCTCAATTCACAGTTCAAGACTTACGTCACAAGTGACAACTATATATCAGTGAGCGAGCAAGCCCCATTACAGTCCAGTTAACCTGAACATTCATGATTAGACTGCCTTTCTTCAAGTTAGAGACCTCCCCTGTCAAGTTAAGGCGAGGGATCGGCAGTCAGGCGATTTTACATAAAGTTCAGCGAGGACAGACACACCTGGTTGTGCACCTACATCGTCAAGGACTTATGGCGAATTACCTAGGCGAAAGATACAAGTGGATCTAAATCACTGGCGTTTCAGACTACAGCTGAATTTCATCAGCGACTAACACAACTAGATGGTTAGTAAACCTACTTAACTTCTGTTTGGAGAATAAAGCGGAAATTTCCGCCCAACCTGGGGATATGAATATAGTGCTCCAACACCTCACAAGT